GTTTGAAATTCTGATTTTTGTGTTTTTTCACACTGTATATTACTAAAAATGTTAATTTATTATATTAAATTAGATTAGTTGCAATTAATTTTTATATAATTTAATAATTATACATGTATATAACACTTTTTAAAAATAATTATCAAACATTAATATTATCTTTTTAGGAGTTTTTAAGAGTGTGTTTAATACACAATTTTTATTAATTAACATAAAAAATTGATATTGATTATAATAACTATTAAATTAAATTCATCTAAGTGATAACAGTATTAAAATTAATATCAATTTTCATAATTTTTTATGTAAATTACTATAAAAAATGTAATAAATAAACTTTTAATTTATATTTTAAGAGTACAAAATAAAAATAAATATATTGTTTATATCACAATCTAAGAAAAGCCACAACCAACACTATACAATAATCTTGAATTACAGCTTAAGCTAGTATAGCTAATATTAATAATTTTGTATTGTATTCACGCTCTAAGAATGGATGATTTAGATCCATAGTTTTTCAAGATGCAACCCCGAGATTATTAGGTTTTAGGTAGAACTTATGGTGTAGTCTTGATAATGTGTGAAATATTAATGTGGCCAAAATGCCCCCTTATAATTTACCATCCTCATTGGTGTATTGTTGTCCTCAATACCAGATAGGCCACCATGAAAAAGCAGGGCGGCCCTTTTGGTTTTGGAATTTTGTTAAAAAGGATGGGTTAAAAATAAAATTGAAAACAAACAAGGAAAAGAAAGGGAAGAAGAAGAGAAAAGGCAATGAATTTCCCATTTTTGGGTGGACACCACATTCAATTCTTACCCGTGAAGGTTGCTATATTTTTATTTTTATTTTTATTATTATTATTCTTATTATTTGAACGTCGGTGGAACTTGAATTTCACACTTACCAGAAGTCATTTATGAAAAAGAAGTAATCATTAAAACATAAGTACGTTCTTACGAAGGTTGCTTTATTATTATTTTTTTAAATATTTTGTCATGAGACCGGTTCAAACCGTTTTTCTTGGTAAGAGGGAATGAACCTCATAAAAGTGATCAAAGTCATTTGACCCACAAGTACAGGTTTAGGTTGCTTTATTATTGATTATTATATTTACCAAAATTTTCATTTTTTCCCTTTTATATATATTTTAATTTTAGCTTTACGTATGTGCAGGGAGAAACAACAAAAATATTTATCTTTTTCCTAAATTTCAAAATTCAAGATTGTCTTAGCCTTCAATGTTGACTTTCGGTTTTCACCTTCTCCATCTTCTGTCTTCTGTCTTTTCCTTTTCCATTGCATGATTTAGGGGTTTATTCTGGAAACTGTCTTGCATTTTCTATTTCTATGTGCCTTCCACACATTAAAACAACCATTTTCTGCCACTTTTAAAATTATTTTTTGAACTTTGCATTGCAACTTCTCTCCAACGCCCCCTCTCTTTCTCCGAAAGTTGATTTCAAAATCTAAAACACTTTTAGTAAAAAAGAAGTTTGTTTTACAATTCAAATTTCAAAATAAAGGTTGTCATATGGAGGGTAATCTCCAATATTAAAGAATTTATAATTTGATGTAATTTAAATTAAATAATAATATTGTGTTTAACTTAATTTATATTGTTATGATTATTTTAAATCTTTAACAATTTCACCTGAGAGCATTTGTTTATTTTCTCTTATGTGTGAAGTTGCTGGAACTTTTCAGGCTAAGGGAATTGAAAAATTGACAACAACCACAGTGGCATTGAATATATTGAAAAATGCATGTGCCTAACTCCCTCTGAAAGAGAAAGATCCTTTGCTTTTGAGCGAAACTTTTATTTGGTTTCATCAATGAAGTGATGAACCGTTCACTTTCACCTTCAACAAGATTTAATTTTAAACCACATGAACATTATCTTTGTCAGCCCCACATTGTAATTGCACAAGAAAAAAAAAATTACAAAAAGCAAAGCTTTAAATTAAAGTTTGGTCATTTAGGTCCTCCACATTTTAATTGTCATAAGAAGGTTCCTGTCCTACGCTGATACCGCTAGTAGTGCACCTAGATTGGGGAACGGTTATGACCCCCCAAAATTGTAAAATGTAATATTTAAAAGTATTAATTTTTTTAATTTAAGTAATAAAAATAATTAATATTAATTAATAGTTAATAAAATAATTGATATTATTAATAAATTAAAATTAGTAAAAAAAATTATGTTTTCTTAGATACTATTTAAGAAACAATTTCAGAACTTTAATAGTTTTAATAAGTTTTGTTTTTTTAGTATTCAAAAATCATATTAAATTTTGACTAATCCAGAATCAAATTGCGTTAGAAACTCTCATAACACTTGTTTTTTATTCATAAAACTCAAATTCGAGATTTTAATTAAAATAAACTAAATTTTTTTCTTTTTAAACCAACAAGTTGTTTATAATTTTATTAAGTTTTGTAGTAACAATAAGGGAGTGTGACAGAGGACCACCATTTGTATTGTGATTCAATTAAAACAATTTAAAAAGAGTATGGACTGTTCATACAATTCACCCCAAGAAAAATTACATCCATGTGTCTAAATAT